AACAAGCAAGTTCAAAGCAAGCGCGCTGTCCACACATGCTGGTCAGCTTTTGGGCCACGCGCGTGCGCGTACTATATTGACAATTGTGGTCAGTGTCACAGCCTGCGAAGCAAATCCTTCCAAAAAACCCCAGGTTGATGCACGTGTCGCAAGCACTGAATAGAACAGTCAGTGCATTCGTTGAGTTCGGGTTCAATATGAGAACGTGACCGAGACCAAGAGCAGACAACAACAATCACGAACGCATCTGCTGGAGAATAGCACAAACTACAGCACACTGGGGAAGTAACGCGCAAACACATGGCCACTCACTATGTGCAACCGGTGGTTGCATCACAGCTGGTGTCACACGAGCCGAGGCATCTGTCGCAGCTCTCATCGCATGATCCTGTGCACCTGCACACATCCAAGAGCAACCCAGAAACGACAGGCAGAGCGGTGTTAATCTCAAATGGATATGAAAGTATGAGGTCATCGACTTGCTGAATTGTAAGCACACGCACGCACCAACACGGCCACTTACGATTGTCCGTTGCAGCCATCACAGCTTGCATCGCATTCGTTGCAGTCGTCGTCGCCTGATATTGTTGATGATGCATCATGCACAAGAAACAGGCGTGAGAATGCAAGCGCACACGTGACTCCCTGCAATGCACGAGAGCAAAGACGCAAAGTGATGAATTCGCCTGAGACTTACAGCCTGAGTTGCAGTTGTCGTCGCAGTTCGAACATGATTGCCTGTGTCAACAAGCACGAATGCAAGCAACACACACACACACACACACACGAACATCAGGACGGAATGTCATGTTTTCGAGACGGAACAAGACCTGGCATCACTATCTAGCAGCTTCCAGTGTCTTGAGCCTGTTGAAAGTGTAAGGAAACGTAAAGCACAGGTCCACAACAAACTCACCCGTCGCAGCCCGTATCGCAGTTTGAATCACACGTGTACGATGCTGTCACAGTATTCCTCCTCCGACGCTCCTGTCATGATGATTGCGTGTGTGTGTGTGTGTGTTTGTCTGTGTGTGTGTGTGTGTCTGTGTGCGTGTGTCTGTGTGTCTGTGTGTGTGTGTGCGTGTGTCTGTGTGTCTGTGTCTGTGTGTGTGTGTCTGTGTGTCTGTGTGCGTGTGTGTCTGTGTGTCTGTGTGCGTGTGTGTCTGTGTGTGTGTGTGTGTGTGTCCTGGCCTTGCGTTCTTTCTTCCTTGATTGCCTCGTTCGCAACTGTACACAAACCCACAAGAAGAAGCAAGCCCACGAACAACACCACTAACAACAACACCAACAAGGCAAGGATGCGTGTGCGAACGGTGACGGTGTTTGTGGAGGTGCCGCAAGGGCTACGGCCGTCGGCAGAGGAGCTGGACAAGACGATTGCACACGCGAAGGACCTACTTGATGCGTGCTCGGGTGCACTGCAGGCGGCGTCATACGAGGTGCAGACCACGCGCGTGGCAATGACAGATCCATCGCAGTGGCTGGTGCACTGGCCGAGGCAGTGCAACAACGCTGATGACGCCGGCAGCAAGGCAAAGCGAGCAAAGGCAACACGTCAGTCTCACGCATGCATTCGTGTGTGTGTGTGTGTGTGTGTGTGTGTGTGTGTGTGTCTGCTCTGTCATGTGTCGTTGGCTCTGCTTGCCAAGTACACACACACACACACACACACACATGCACACACATTCACACACACACACATGCACACACACATGCGCACACACACATGCGCACACACACATGCACACACATTCACACACACATGCACACACACACATGCACACACATTCACACACACACATGCACACACACACATGCACACACACACCAACACAGTGCTATCGGATGACCTGCGGGTGGAATTGCAGCGGCTGGATGGCATCCTCAAGGCGCACGGGATCGACTTCTTCAACCTGGGCTGCCTCCAATCACCGACTGTGGCTGATGTGCAGCTCGTGCCCGAGGTGCTGCTCTCCAGCTCTCGCTTCAACATGAGCGTCAACGTCTCCCCGGGGGACCTGGCCACGGCCACCGCCATCGCATCAGCTGTTCAGCACGTGGCTCGCCACAGCGAGGGTGGCCTCGGCAACTTCCGCCTGTGCGCGTGCGCCTGCTGCGCTGACGCGAACATCCCCTTCTTCCCCGCTGGCTCTGCACGCATGCCGCCGCCGCAGGAGCAACAGCAGCAGCAACCGCAACAGGTTACGTTTGGTGTTGCAGTGGGCCTGGAGAACGGTGACCTCACACGTGAGGCTGCAGCACGCGCAACCGTCAGCGCCCGGCTACCGGAAGCGCTGGCGAGCGTGATGCTGCCCCACTTGCAGGCAGTCGAACGCACCTGCCGCGAGGCGGTGGAGACACTTGTGGCGGCCACTGGGCTGCCTGCCACGTTTGCGGGCATCGACACGAGCTACAACCCTTCCCTGGACGCCGGCACGAGCGGGTCCGTGGCTGCGGCACTGAGCTCGCTGGCAGACATGGCGGAGCTGATTGACCTCGGTGCCCTGGGCGCAGTATCCATTGCCACCACGGCCCTGCAGGCGCTGCCCGTGCAGCAGGTTGGCTACCGTGGCCTGATGCTCCCCGTGTGTGAGGACCGCCATCTCGCTGCACTCGCTGCGGGTGTTACCACCACACAGCACGCGCAGAAACAAGCACGGATGCAGCACGTGACTCAAGAAGAAGGGGTACAAGGTGCACATGAGACCAAAGATGCACAAGAAGTACCAGAGGTGCAGCGGCAGCAAGGAGAAGCAGCGCCAGAAGAGGAGGACAACAATGCAGGGAGCGAAAAGCACCAGGGCAAGAAGGAGCAGAAGGAGCAGATGCAGGCGCCCGCGTTGACGCTGCAGCGGTTGCTGTTGCTGAGCAGCGTGTGTGGTGTTGGGGTGGACACGGCGCCCATCCCGGGCGACTTTGACCCGCACCGCCTCGCGCTGCTTTATTTGGACATGAGTGGGCTGGCGCATCGCTGGAACAAGCCGCTCAGCTGCCGCGTGTTCCCTGTTCCGGGCAAGGCTGCCGGAGACATGACCACCTTTGACTCACCTTACCTCGTCAACACCCGCGTCCTCCCACTGTGACATGTGTTTGTTTGGGTGGGAACGGGGGATGGAGTGGATGGTGGGTTGGATGGAGATGATTGCTTGATGGGGGTATATGGACGGTTCAGGTGTTACGGTTCATTCAGAGACACACGTACACACACATACACACACAGACACACACGTACACACACATACACACACAGACACACACAGACACACACAGACACACACACACAGACACACACACACACACACACACACACACACACACACACACACACACACACACACACACACACACACACACAGACACAGACACAGACACATTCGCCAAGCAGCCGGAAGGCGCCAGTGGCTTCTTCTGACGTGTTCCTTTGCAATCATTAAAACCGCATCGAATTCTCAACAAACAACCGTTGTCTCCGCGCAAGTGTTAGAGATTTGATGCATGATTAGGGAGACAGTTTTTGTCTGACGTGCACAACTTCACCAACCACGCCACACTTCAGCCCACCAACACAAGCGGCAGCGCAATCATGCAACAGCTCATCGTGTGTCGCAGCCCAGCCACCATGTTCTCGCTGGCACTGTGGATGAGAGCGGCTCATTTTCCCTCAACATCTCTCAAGCAGCTACAACGGCAGCAACGGTAGCACCAGCGATCCCACCAACAATCCCCACCCATCCACACAACACACAGCACACGACAATGACAATGACAACAAGGCAGGCGTTGATCTGGACTCTGGTGGCGGCCACGACCCTTCTTCTGGCCACGACCGCGGGAAGTGCCGAGGCGCAAGGATTCTTCCACCACGGGCCTGGCCAACGCCAACGCAGCATGTGGCCAAGCATGTTTCCTTCCTCCTTCCACGAGAGCAGCGGCGGCGGGCTCTTCGGTGCGCCATCGTTCGCACGCTGGCCAAGCCACAGGCACCAGCGCCAGCAGCAGCCACAGCGGCAGCGGCAGCGCGATCCCGCATGGGAGTTGCAGCAGCAGCGCGAGCGGGAGACGCGACAGCTCAATCACTTGCTGTCGCAGCGCCAGAGCCTTCAAGCGGAACGAGAGCGCATCGACCAGCAGGAGCAGCGGATCCACGGGGAACTGGCCAAGGCCGATGGCGTGTGGCGTGATCTCGCTGTACAACGGGAGCGCTTGACGCAGCAGCAAGGCGGCATGCCGCGCCACGCCAACTGGAGGCAGATGCGCCGACTGCAGCAGGAGGAGGCGTATGTGCAGCGGTACGTGCGCGAGCGCAGGTACAAGCTGGAGCAGCTTGCCTCATACCGGGCACAGCTCGGCGACAAGGACAGCCAGCTTCAAGCCGCCATCCAGCAGCAAGAGGCCAAGCTCGACGCATTGACGACTGGGGACAATACCAAGCACGCAAGCGAGAACGGCAGTGCTGATGGTAGCAGTGCAGATGGAACTGCACACCAGCACCACCGTCGTCAGGCAGAACACACCCAGCAGCAGCAGCAGCAGCAACACCAACACCAACAACGGCAACAACAACAACAACACCAGCAACAACAACAACAGCAACAACACCAACACCAACGGCAACAACACCAAGGACGTGCGCAACAACAACAGCCGCAATCCGACAGTGCTCCACAGGGTGGCAAGTTTGTCAAGCGCGTGCGCGTGAAGGACGGATCGTCCATTCCATCCACACCATCCACATCATCCACACCATCGTTTGATCGAACAAGCGGGTACCTCGTGGACGAGGATGGCCTCAAGTGGCAAGCGGGCGGCATCTGGGTTGGCGAGCCGGGCGGCAGCCATGACGGCGCTGCTTCCAAGGCAGCGACCAGCACCGACGAGCGTGACAGCAGCCAGGAGCTGGGGGATGCCATGCGGGAGATTGACGCTTTCCTTCGCCAACAAGCACGTTGAGAGCGGGTGTAACAGTAGCTTGCCTTGTGAATGTACCTTTTCGCTTGTGCTATGACGTTGTGGACGTATTTTGAGACCCCTGAGCGTGCATCCGTGACGTGAGCGTGTCGACTTGGATTGTTCCTACCACTTGGACTTGTCATCTCGACTTGATCTCGCACATTTGCTTCTGGTGTCATATAGCTGATATGGTTGCTGACATGTTCCTGATGCTCGTTTTCAGCGCATCCTCTTTGTGTATTCTGCCCCTTCTTCCATCGCGAACAATCAATCCATCAATCAATCGTGTTCAATACAACAGCCAACCAACTACTTGAGGAGTGTCTTGAGGAGTGTTCATGCTCAATGACAACATACACACACATACACACACGTTCACACGTTCACACACACATACACGCATACACACACACATACACACACGTACACATACGCACACGCACACACACACACACACGTACACACATACACACACACACATACACACATACACACACATACACACACGCTGCATCCACATACACGCACACACACACACACACTCTCTCTCTCAATCTCACTATTGCTGTTTCATTTTGTTGTTGCTCTTCTTCTTCTGGTCCTGGGTGTGCTTCGCTGTTTGGCGCCGGCCCATCCCTTTGGTGGCAATCATGTTGAGGATCTTGAAGAACCAGAAGATGTTGAGGAGGGCGAGGATGGCAGCAAAGAAGTAGATGTGCACAAACTGCGCCAGTGCGGACCTGCCGTGCTCCCCGCTGAGCACGGCGTCCATGCGATGCGCCTTCCACGACTGCACCAGCTTCAGCAGGAGAAAGAGGAACGTGCCGATGCGCATGAGAAGCCACGCCGGCACAATTGCCCCCAGGTTCAGCGTGTACAGCACTCCGGAGAGCGTCAACTGCGGCCGCACGCCACACTTGCGCATGAGAAACTCGCAGTGCAGGAAGGGCGCCGTCAGCTCCGTCGCCAGGAACACGGCCGCCGGGAAGAAGGGCGACGGGATGTGCGTGTTGTACGAGTCCATGATGAACGCGTACTCCGTCAGCAGCGTCAGCAAATGGTGCACCAGCATGAGGCCTTCGCCCAAGTACAGGTTCACCAGCCCATCCACAATCATGTAGCCGCACGACACCGCAACCGCACACTTGAGGTGCTCCGACTCGGGCCAGGGCGCAAGCTCGTCCTGGTGGTTCACCGCAACGTCCAAGATGGCCTCCAGCGCGGGCACGCCCACCAACACGGCGTGCAGGGGCCCAACCATGCGAATCGTCATGCGCACGCGCTCCTGGAATGACATCCCGGCCAGCGAGGTGGTGGTGTCCTGCTTTCCACCGTCCTTCTTCGGCTTCTTCGGTTTCTTCGTCTTCCTCGGGCTCGTGGGAATCAGAACATACAGCGCGGCCAATGCAAGCGCAAACATGGCAGCAAACGCAACTGCGCTCAAGCCAATCACGTCGTAGCCATGCCCAAAGGTAAACCGGTGCAGTGCCACCGCAGGCAGCCCTTCCCCCTCCCACAGCATCTCTCAAATGTGCGCTTGTGTGCTCGGCCTGTGTTTCGCGCTCCTGTTGTGTAGTTGTCCACTGTGTTGGCATATAAATGGGATGCGCTGATATTGACCTATTCATAAGCCACCACCGGCACGAGAAGCGAACAGCAACAAGCAAGGAACAGTGAGTGGATAATGGCGGGTGGTCGTGGCCGTGGTCGTGGCCGTGGCCGTGGCCGTGGTCGTGGTCGTGGCCGTGGTCGTGGCCGTGGCCGTGGTCGTGGTCGTGGCCGTGGCAGGGCCGAACGCGGTGGAGCGAAGGCGGTGGCGGCGGTGGTGGGGGATGCCCATGGTGAGGAGGCCGCGTTTGGCTGGGAGGTGGGTCACTGCGCAGCCACGCGGGTGCCACCCAAAACCCCAGAAGGCGTGAGCGCGGATACTTTGGTTGCTTCCGACGGGCTCGATCTCTACATCGTGCGCATTGCCAGCATCACCAGCGTCCCCGACAAGCAAGGCACCACATCACGGCGGGAGGGCCAACGTGCAGTCACGGAGAGGGACAACAAGGGCGAGGAGGAGAAACAGATGAGCAGCAGTGAGGAGGAGAAGCAGACAACCCTCAAGGAGACGCCTCAGTCCAGTGACGCCCATGCTGCAACACGCGGCAAAGACAGCGGAGAAGAAGGAGGAGACCAGGAAGGCCCGTCAGCTGCACGCCCATCCCAGAAATCATCAGCAGTCGCCAGAATAAAGGCCAGAGAAGCCGGCCGCGGCCACAGCAGCAAGGACGACGATCCGGAAACGACAGGACCCGCCACAGAACAGCATGAGGCACGCAGTGCTTCCAGCAAAGACGCACAGGAACAGCAGGAACATCAAAGCGACGCCAACGACGACGACGACGACGATGATGATGACGATGATGATGTTCATGATGGCGATGAGAAAGTGCAGCCCAAGGATGTGGAAGTGGAGGTCCAGTACTTTGTGCGACCATCACAGCTTCCGGTGCCAGTGGCCAAAGATCGCAAGTGGTTTGCGCAGGAGATGGTCTTCGCTCCTGATCTCATTGCGCGCCTGACACTGGCGGACCTCGAAAAACACCAGTGCGCGGTGCTCTCTGATGAGGCATACAGCAGCGACCTTGCTGAACCAGCCGTCGCCAGCAAGAACACGTTCCGCTGCTCGCTGGCCTACAGCGTGCGCTCTGGCTCCCTCGACACATACACACCGGACCACGCGCACCTGCACCTGCAGCCGCGCAAGAACAAGAAGGCAACATCCAAGCAGACTGGCCGCAAAGGCGCCAACACAACAACGACAGCAGCAGAAGAGGCAGACACATTGTCAGTGGCAGCAGGGACAGGCGACACCAGCGGCGACGAAGTAAAGCGGTCGTGGACGGCAGATGATGTGCTGTATCTGATGCAGGCGTCACGTGACCTGCAGCCGGGCCCGCCCATGATCCTCGCAGGCCGCCCGGTGCGTTCTCTCTCTGTGTGTGTGTGTGTGTGTGTGTGTGTGTGTGTGTGTGTGTGTGTGTGTGTGTGTGTGTGTGTGTGTGTGTGTGTGTGGTTGTGTGTGAGTGTGTGTGTGTGTGTGTGTGATTGTGTGTGGTTGTGTGTGTGTGGGTGGTTGTGTGGGTGGGGATCAAGGCATCTATACTTGTCTGCCTCACACCATGTGTCTCGTCCCTCGTTCAGGTTCGCTTCCTCTCATCAACAAACTGCGAGATGCTCGGCGCAACATCCAACACTAGCAAGAGGTGCGTATGTGTGTGTGCGTATGTTTGTGAACACACGTGTGCGTGTGTGCGTGTGTGCATGCGTGCGCGCCAGTGTTGCTGTGCAAGTCGTCACGTGCTCATCGCACGCTGCTCTCTCTCTCTCTCTCTCTCTCTCTCTCTCTCTCTCTCTCTCTCTCTCTCTCTCTGGATCTGTGGGCTTGTCGCGATCACGTCTGCCACGACTGCACACAGCGGCACGGCGGGTGCTCCCAGAGACGTGTTTGGGCTCTTGCACTCGCTCCAGACCGCTGCGCACACGCACACACACGCCGACCACGCCGACGACGAACGCACGCCAGAGGCCGCATCACAGCTGTACGAACACATGCGGTGCATGATCCGTGACATCTTGAATGTACACGCGTGTGCGCGCAAGTGTCAGTACGTGAATGTGCGTGTGTGTGTGTGTATCCACGTATGCAGGATGTGCACACTCATACTTCCAATTCGCGCGTATGTTTATGTGTATATGTACTCAGCCGCCATCTTGCCGCCCGCCGCGCTGCGCATGTCTCAGGCGATCATGCAGATGATGATGGTGAGCTAGGACATGGGCACCTGCTGTGCTCTGCGTGTGTGTGTGTGAGTGTGTGTGCTTGCGTGTGTGTGTGCGTGTGTGCGCGCGTGTGCGCGTGTACGTGTGTGTGTGTACGTGTGTGTGTGTTTACATTTGCTTGTGAACTGTGCAGATGAATGTGTTCTCATGCATGGCTCCGATCATCCTCGTGTGTCCCGTCAGAGTCACCAGATTCGAAGCGGTCGAAGCCAGCCGCGGGCGGCGCGTCGCTCGTACAGAAGCTCCTCCAGGGCCAGATCTCACCATCACCAGCATCGCCACCAACACCATCATCACCAGCACCAGCAACATCGGCGTCGGAAGAAGAGCAGGAAGAGACGAAGAAGGAGAAGGAGAAGGAGGAGAAGAAGAAGGGGACGGGCACCAAGACGATGCAGTCCACGACGCCCACACCCTCCAAGCGAGGCCGAGGTATTGTGTGTGTGTGTGTGTGTGCGTGTGTGTGTGCGTGTGTGTGTTTGTGTGTGCGTGTGTGTGCGTGTGTGTTTGTGTGTGCGACTTGTCTTCTTCACTGTTGTTCACCGTTTCCACTACCGGCCACGGCACCAACGAAACCATCCACCCCATCATGACCACTGTCGTCATCATTACAGGCCGTCCGCGCAAATACGCGCGCGACGAACTCGGCCGCCCGGACAAATCACGTCCTCTTGGTGCGGAGTGACGTGGTGCCAGCAGCGTAGATGTGTGTGCGTGTGTGCGTGTGCGTTTGTGTGTGTGTGTTTGTTGTGACGAAACACCGATGCAAGCGTGCAATGAACACTGTCACGCTCGCACCCATACTCACGGACTCATTCACATTTACATGTGCATGCACATCTGCGCAACTATCAATCCGCTGCCCGCAGATTCCACACTATCGTCATCAGCGAAGCGATCACCACCATCAACGGCACCACCAACAGCCACTGCCGCCGCTGCGACGAAGAAAGCAAAAAGGGGTCCTGGTCGGCCTCGTAAGAACCAAACAGCATCAACAGCTACAGCAACAACATCAGCAGCATCATCGTCGATGGCCATTGAGAGCACTGCGCTGCCGGCCTCAAACGTCTTCAAGCACCCGTTCTCAGGCGGCCTTGACGTGAGATAGGGTTGTGTGCGTGCGTGCGTGCGTGCGTGCGTGTGTGTGTGAAAGGTGAAATCAACGCGCTCATTTCACACGCCATTTGCATTTCGATCCACACTTCCGTCATCACCACCACTGACACTGCCACCATGACTGACATCCTTGCCTGCGTGTGCTGCGTATGGGGCAGGTGGATGAGTACTTTGCTGAGCACCACTCGAGCGCAACCAAGACGTCCAAGAACACGCTTGCCCGTGTTGCCTTGTCCAAGATGACGGAGGGGGACGTGTGGTCGCACATCAAGTCGTACAAGGACGCGTTTGAAACGGACAGGGAAGCCGTCGCCAGCAAGTAAGAAAATTGCATCACTCCTGTAGATGGGTTTGTGGACCATCACTGGGGCTTTTCCTTTATTGTGTGTCTGTGTGGTTTGTTGTTTCTTCGCTCATGGCGCTGTACTCTGTCTTGTCCCACCCATTTCTTCCTTCCTTCCTTCCTTCCTTCCTTCCTTTCTTCTTCCGTTTGTGCATGTTTGCTTGCGGTTCAATTGGCGGTATGTGAACATTGATGCTCCCTGTATTCGCCTTCTTGTTTTCATCTCGCCCGTGTACATGTGTGTCTGTGCATCCCTTTTGTGATGCTTGTGTGTTGACATGTGTGTGTGTGTGTCAACCCTCCCGATAAACAGACTTCGGCAACAGTTCCCCACGTGGCAACAGCACATGCGCGCGGGCTTCAACATCCTCCTCCACGGCCTCGGATCAAAGAAGGTGTGGACACGACAACCATGCTCGTGGTGCTGCAAGTGGCATTTGCTCGGGTGATGGAGACGTGCCTGTGGTGGGCGGGAACGCGCCCCGGTTGATTGGATTGTACACACTTGTCAGCAATTTAGCGCCCCTCACGCATGCCACAACCCTCGCTGTTCACACGCTGCCAGGCGATTGTGTGTGAATTTGCTGAGAGATACCTAAGCAGCGAGCACGTTATCACCGTCAACGGATACTTTCCATCGCTCACCATCAAGCAGGTGCGCTCCTGGTGCTCGTCTTCGTGTTGATGTGTTGCGTTACGCGTTTGGTGTCTCGCGCGATCTGAAAGAAAATAGCGGCGCATCGTGCGGTGTGCCGTAACAACACAACGTGCACACACACACACACACACACACACACACACACACACATGCGTCTTTGTGGGCGCTGCAGGTGCTGAACACGATCACGTCTGCGGTGCTGAGCGTGACTGCGGCGCCACGCGATGCTATTGACCACGCAAAAGCCATCAAGCTCTACTACGAAGGTAAACGCCGTGGTGGTGTTAGTGCTGGTGGTGATGACGGCACCTGTGTGCAGTCGCGGTGGTGGCCGTCGTCGTCGTGGCGGTGATATCTGTAGCTCATTGAAAGGGAGAGGAGGTTGCATCACACCATTTCGCGATTGTGCTGGGTTGAAGACCACTCACACCTCATCTCCTGCGTTTCATCCACGCGTTCTTCAGAAACACCCGGCCTGCCCGATCTGTATCTTCTCATCCACAACATTGACGGGCCCAAGCTCAGAGCAACAGCAGCGCAGGTAAACTCAAGCTGAGAACGTGGCTTGGGTGTGTTCGTGTGTGAGAGAGTGAGTGTGTGTGACAGTGAGTGAGTGAGTGAGTGAGTGCGTGAGTGAGTGAGTGTGTGTGTGTCCATGTTTACGTGCGGTGTACATGCAGAACACAGTTGCTCCTTGCGTAATCCCAATGCGTCACTCAATCAGTGTGTCACACATGCACATGGTGCAGGATGCATTGAGTGTCCTTGCTTCGACGAAGCAAATCCACATCATCGCCACCATTGACCACGTCAACAGCCCACTCTGTCAGTTTGCACAAGTCAGCTCTTGGTGTGCTTGTTGCGCTTGAGTGCTGAGGAGAGGAACTGCGTGCATGCAAGCACAAGCACACGTTCATGTACACACACGCTTCACAAACCTACACACACACACCCATTTGTCATTACACGGTGCACAGTGTGGGACTACGGGACGCTTGGGCGGTTCAACTTTGTGTGGATGGAGGCTGCAACCCACTCGCCGTATTCGCGTGAGACATCGTATGCTGAAACGCTCGTACTCAAGACATCACAGATCAAAGTGGAAGGTGGGGCAGTCATTTCACTTGTCAGATGCACTGTTGTGTGTATGTGTGTGTATGTGTGTATGTGTGTATGTGTGTGCGTGTGTGCGTGTTTATGTGTATGTGTGTATGTGTGTGTGTGTGTTTGTGTATGTGTGTGTATGTGCGTGTACACACATATACTCGCGTTCATGCAATCCCGCCAGCAACCGCTCACACGTAATTCACCACCACACGACCCCCCCCCCCACCACCCAATCCACCACCACCACCCAATCCACCAACACCACCACCATCAACACCACCAACAACATCAACAACACCAACATCAACAGCGGTGCAGCACGTCATGTCGGCCCTGCCGTCCAACGCGCGAAAGGCGTACTGGATCCTCCTCGATTACATGACCAACAACCCGGACGTCAAAGGTGAGGTGGCGACGATGGTGTGCGTGTGTGTATTTTGGGGGAGGGGGATGTTTGCAGGCTGGTGTTCAGCTCTGCCAGCGTGCACTGCCATACGCAATTGTTCTCTCACACACTCACACTCTCATTCACACACACACACACACACACACACACACACACACACACACACACACACACACACACACACACACACACACACACACACATGCACACAACAAGGCGTGCCGTTTGAGGAGTACCTGTCCATGTGTACGGAGAATTTCGCCGCCCGAAACGAATTGCGGTTGCGGTGAGTGAACATGTGCGTGCGTGCATGCTTGAAGGGTTGTGTCAGCGCTGATGCATCTGTGCACTGCATGCGACGCTGTACATTCCCACATGTGCGGTGTTGTGTCCCACCAATCTCACACGACCTGTCATGCTTGCCAATCCGCTGCCAGGGCGTTTCTGCGCGAGTTTAAGGATCACAACCTCGTGGCCCTCACCACGGTATGCAAGCAGCTGCATACGTATTGGCGAGTGGCTTAGTGAGAAATGTGGTGGGAGGGGCAAGTCTCACTCGCTCACTCACTCGCACACACATTCACAGGTTGATGGGAATGAGTTTTGCAAGATTCCTGCGGATGCAGACACAATCAAGGAGGTTATTGCAACCATGGAAGAGCACTTCCCAGGTACGCGCGCGCATGTGTGTGTGTGTGTGTGTGTGTGTGTGTGTGTGTGTGTGTGTGTGTGTGTGTGTGTGTGTGTTTGTGAGACGTAGTACGTACGTGGGCCAAGTCGGTGATGCTCCCAATAGACGGTAAACAATTCCGCTGAGTTTCCACAATACCGACGAGTACGCGAGCGGTGGTTTTATTTTAACACTATGAACCGCATAGTGAGCTCCGAACAAGACGAAAAACCGTCCTAACAGGATTGTTATTGTAATACTAGCGCGTAGACTGTTGGCCCCCAAAAAAACTAAAGCTGGCGTAATTGCCATGCTGCATCAACCACTGACAGTTGAGGGATGTCTGACGTGTTTAACTGCCGTACGAAATATCTACCAGATATTATTCGCGTTGAAAAAATATCTTGCAACTAAGATCCCGACCGCGGCGGCTCGGAATAAAAAAGCTAGCGGGAATGGAAACTCTGGTCGTGGAGCCGCTTTGCTGACCAGCGCTCTCCCTATGACTCTACGTTTTCTAGAGAGATTTAAATCTCCCATAAATATGTAGTTGGTAGGTCGAGCCCTGGTCTACGAAATCGGAAATAGCAATAGACTTTGTCCTGTTTTGAGAAGCTTTATTTTCTACTTTGAACTTAGGGGAGGTTCGTCCGAAATACGTAAAACTTCCCTTCGCGCACACACACACACACACACACACACACACACACACACACACACACACACACACACACACACACACACAGTCACATCACACGCACACACACACACACAATCACATCACACACACACACACACACACAACACAGCTACTGGAACCGCTTAATGAGGGACTCGAGCTTTCGGATGTTGATGCTGCCGCGCTTTGTGGGCGAAGTGCTGGCACTCGTCGTTGGATTTGCGGTCTTGCCTGACCCTGACTCTGCTGCTGCTGTCGCTGATGACGATGATGCGGATGAAGCATCTTTGTCCTTCTTGTTCCTGTCGCCACCACCCCTACGCCCAAACGCAAGCCCAAGCGCAGCAACACCGCCAACACCGCTGCTGCCGTGTGCTGCCTGCTCCTGCTTGAACGCGGCCTCGCCAACTTGCTCGCGATACGCAGCCAGCAGCGGCTGCTGCTCCGCTTTCCGCAGCCCTGATGATGATGATGGGAGGGAGAAGGGAGTGTGGGAGGGAGAAGGCAGGGGGGGGGCGGTTGACGAGGATGAGTGTGCGACGGGACGTGCACATATGTGTGCATGCACATGTGTGTGTGTGTGTGTGTGCGTGTGTGTGCATAATTGTTTGCAAAAGTGGCCCCCACCTTTCATGTCGAGGATCTTTGCAAACGGCACGAGCGGCTCGTCGTCGCCAATGAGCTGTTCATCGAGAGCACATGAACAGCGATGGTGTCACAATGCGTGCAGGAGTGCAAAGGAAGGCGTGAGCATAACGGCAGATTGTGAACCATTGTTGGCTAAAGGACAGCGCACACGTCACAGCACCACACAACAACAGGAGGCCGCAAACAATGGCACGTCAAAATGGGAGACCTTTGTGTAGTCCTGGACGAAGATGCCTGGCGGATCGTGCGGGGCCATCAACAGCTGTTCACACACACACACACATACAAACACACACACATACACACACACACACACACACACACACACACACACACACACGCACGCACAAGCAAATTATGTTACGAGTCACGAATACAGGGAAGTTGTCATTGCTTCATACAGGAAAACGCACCACGAACAAGAGCCAACCAAACACAATCCATGCTTCCCACAACAAAGGAATGTCACCTCTTGCTTGCATGCACGATCGATCACCGACATGCACGACCACTTGCTTGCATGCAAACCATACTCGTGTGCCAATTCAGACCTTGAGCAGGGTCTCTGCCTGTCCGAGGCCACGGTTGA